ACAGCTGCTTCTCTATTCACAGTATCTCAATTTGTTATAGAATTTCTTCCTTCACTAATATATAGTAGATCAATTCTCTGGCAAATGGTTATTTGACTTCTAACATAATCAGGCAGTCTTGTTCAATCCAGTACCCAAACAAATGAGGCAAACAGGAATGTGCAAAACTAAGGAGCCATAAAAAATTATGTTATCATCCGGTTTTGCTGAAAATTTGGCTCCCTGTCTCACTTAAGGGGCCAAATAATCAATAATGCACAGTACATGGAACATAACCCAATTTTTCCAATAGGATCGGTCCAACTATCTTCTTTTCACATATAGCTCCACTTTCAGGAATATAATCCTCACAAAAACTGTTTTACTGTCATTTCTCTCACATCTGCAAAACTTTCAACTATCTATGTATATTTTTAATTCTCTGCCAGAACCAAATCAGCCACATATGGTACATTAAGTAAGAAAATCCTTATATATTCCTCTCATGTGCAAATTTCACAATTTTCTCTAATTTAAAGTACTGTACTCCCATCAAGAGCTGTCTTATAATCCCATGCACCTTAAGTGCTAACCAACTGTTGAGGGTGGCATCAAGGAAAAGTGGCTTAGATAAGATGGGGGATTTGAAATGCGACAAGGTAGGACAACAGCTCTTAGCCTGTAAATTCAACAGTATTACACACTTAGTCTAAGACAAATATGTAAAGCTCTGCTATTCTACTCTTAAAAGTGAGACTTAATCCAATAAAGAGAGTTCATTCCATGACTTTGGTAGTACCCTAGGCTATGGGTGCTTACCCAGTAACTGTTTCAGATGGCATTACTCAGTGTTACCTCTTCAAACATCACTAATTAAGCCCCACCAGAGGTTAATGGGAGTATTTCAAACATATACATTACATATATGTATACAACACAGCACAGCACCACACCACATCCCCCCCCCACACACACACTCCCACATGCGTGTGCACACCCACACACACACACTCCCACATGCGTGTGCACACCCACACACACACACACCCACACACGACTACATACTATGAGATTTATTAATGACAAGCAACCATGACAAACAATGTGACAAAGTATTTGGAGATTTCAATTACAATTATAAAGACAAACTGGCTAGGCTGCAATGATTAATGAATGCTTTGACAAAATCCTCAATGTACATAGCTGTTTGTTTATGTATCAGTTCATCAAAGAAGCAAGTGAATGAGAGAAGACAGTACAATGTCAGTGATAGACTTTATATTCACTAGGAAAGGGGGAAGAAATTCTCAACAAACTATCTAAAACCACTTGGAAAGACTGGTCATGTTCTTCTGGAATTAACATATGTTGCTAAATATGACTTAGGGAAAGAAAAAAAAGAAAAAACACAGAAAAAATAACTAGATTATAAGAAAGGTAAACATTACAATAGGTTGATATATAAGATTACAAGGGACAGATAAACAAAGTTCTGCAAAACATATGAAAATGGAATCATTCAATTTATTCCAAAATGAGGAAACAGACCATTGTCTCAATGGCAAGCACTGAGTCACTATCCATGTATGTTTTACTAAGCTCATCAACAACACAACAATTCCTTCCACCAGTTACCCTCGCATAAACCACTGATCACAGTGATAATTCTGTACCCATCATCCACACTAATAGTCAAACCAATTTTTTCACTCATGGCAACCACAAACCTTGATTGCTGATTCATCCATTCCTAGTAGCAAAACATTCAGTGAATTGCACCACACACACACACATACACACACAACACATACACACACACCACACACCACACACACACACACCACACAACACACAACACACAACACCACACACACACACATCACACACACTGTCAGAGTAACAGTATCAATCACTGCTCCTACACAACACTCTCACACAGCACGTCCTTCCTGTGTGTATGCATCACCACACCTTCCTGATCACATTGACTCTCCAGTCACCACCACCACATCCTGATGTCGCATGACTCTCATGCATCACCACCACCATCTCACTGATGTCGCACTGACTCTCCATGCTCACCACCACCACCTCACTGATGTCACACTGACTCTCCATGCTCACCACCACCATCTCACTGATGTTGCGCTGACTCTCCATGCTCACCGCCACCACCACCTCACTGATGTCTAACTCTGACTCTCATGATCATGTCATTAAACATCTCGCAGGAACTATACTGAAGTAGTTTTCTCTTTACTTAGTCACAAATTTATAATACACCTAGGTCTCGATTAATGCGAACAATAAATCTTGTGGAGTGGTCTCATTATTCGAATTTGCACTGTTCTAATTATATGTAATTTTTGTGCATGATGTGAAAAGTTTGGGGGAAAAAAAGCATTAATTAATTTTGCAGTTAACTGAAATTTACACTCTTTAAATTCATACTAACTCAATTCTGGCTAACCTCAAATAAATTAAGCATTAAGAAAAATTATAGTATGCAAAATTTAAGAAAGTATCATTTCATACAAATTAACAAAACTACAAACTGATATAACTATCTATCACACATGTTGGTAGTCTTAAAATTGTAAGAAATTTAATTTGGAGAAAAGTTGGCTAATCAACTAAGTAATAGCTCTGTGCATCCTGTTGTGCCAACAAAAATGCATAAATAAAAGCTTTGTTAAAACATGTGCTAACCATATTCACTGCCAGATCAGCTGGGGTGTAGTTCATACATCAGTTTGCATGCAGTCAGCAGTAACAGCCTGCTTGATCAGGTCCTGATTAACAATGAGGCCTGGTTACAGACTGGGCCACAGGGGAGTTGACCCCTAAATCCCTCTCCAGCTATACCCTTTAACCGTGGCAGCTCGTACAGCCAGTAATAGCCATACTATCGTAATGCATCAAACTTCTGTTTTTAATAATTTTTTATCTTGTTTCAACAAAAAAATAGAAAATTCGCTTAAAAAATACATTGAAAACAAAATACAACAGATTTTTCCTGTAATATATTTGTCAGTTGCAAATTATTTTAGCATAAGGTTGATGAAGTCATATGTCTGGCAGTGAGCATCTGGGGGGATGCAGCTCTGCAGCTCCTATGGACAAGCCACCACTGCCTTTAACACATTCTGTATCTAATGTTATACAAGGTGATCACAGACTTGACCTAAAGCCACAGATTTATTTTTTGGACTATCAGGATATGGTAAATACTGCCATGGCATAATATAGTATACCACTGTGACAAGAAAACAGATATACTTCTCAACAGTATGAACCACAATTAACCCTTTCAGGGTTGGCAGGCCCTCTCCTAAACTTGTTCTCAGGGTCGGAAATTTTTCGAAAAAAAAAAAAATTATTTTTTCTTGTGAAATGATAGAGAATCTTTTCCCGATCATACTGACGCCAAAAGTATGAAATTTGATGGAAAACTTACGGAATTATGCTCTTGCGAAGTTAGCGGTCTCGACGATGTTTATGCATCAACGATTTCGCCCAATTTGAGCCCTATTATCGGTCAATTCCAATGTACCAGTTGACAAAAATCATACCTATTTCGCTACAAATCCATTTTGTCTATCGAATGAATACAAGAAACCACCCATTTACCGATTTCAACTAACCAATAACGTGGTCAGAAATTGGCAATTTTGCCAATTTCACACAAATTTCCAAAGATACCCATTTCCAAATAGGGTCCAGAATAAACAAGACAGACATTCCTGGTACTAAAATAACATTTCCTCTGTTGATTACTCATGTACCCAAGCCTCTGCTACATTTCTTTTGCTTTCCACTTTGAATTTTTATTTTCACAAAGATTAGAAGATTTATGTTATGCAGACTACTGCATTCGTGTAGAAATGGTGTAGAAATGGTATAAATAATATCAGCGCACTTGTGAAATAATATTAGACTCACCAGTTGTCGTGTATTGAACGTGTGGCATGATTTGTTTACCTTTGAACTTTGGCAAAAATTGAACATTTCTGCTACTTTGAGCTCAATTCCAAGCTACTTTTCATTGTGAAACCAATCAAAATCACCTCAATTTCCATAATATGTCTTCTTCTATAAAATGAGATCATGAAAACTAGAATACAACCATAAATAGCATACGAAAATACACTGCAAAGTTGCTGTATTAAACCAAAAACACTGGTCAGTTTTTTTTCTCATTATGCACTGTGCGCTGCAGGATTTTTTTTATACTGCGATCACTGACCACAAAGACCCATTCTTTCATATGTAGGCCTACCAGCTTTCTCTCGCTAGATTTGAAGGTGCTAGAATTTATGCATACTAGTACGGCACCAACTCTGGCGTGCAAGCTGTACTAGTACAGCACCAACCCTGAAAGGGTTAAAATGACTGTACTGCATATCACGTTAAGTATACACTTGAGCAATATTGCATGAATACAGTAAACAATTTTGAAGTTTATGCTTGTAGAAAAAAAGTCTACAGTTGTAAAAAAAATTTATGGGCGTAAAATCACTAGGAAATATTTAAGTAATTCAGGTATACATGACTAATGAGAAACTGTAATTTCCTATAGGTATAATGTGGTATGCAGAGAATATAAACATGTTTCAGGATGGGATCTACATAATTTGTCAAAATAGGTGGACCCAAAAGATGAATGAGAAACAATGGCAAAGAGGTTGAAAAGCACAGTGCCTTTCCTTTACTTTTGATGAGTTCCGAGAGTTCTTCTACTCCTGGAGCCCGGCCATGGGCCAGCTCTTGGGAAGAATAAAAAATTACAAGAAGCAAATGTGTTATCATATCTTCAGCCCTCAACACTATCTGTACTTAAATACTCAAAGAATCCCTTGTACAAAAACTCCGACTACCTATTTAACTGTAGAAGGAATTAAGTAAAATATCATTTATAACCAGATGATGATTCCCTTTACCCCCCCAAAAAAAAAAGTTTATTGTAAACTTCAGCATTAAATCAGATGGTGAAAGTAATTAAAATTCAGAATCACTCTTACTTTGAAACCTTTCATAAGCTGCATCTTCATATGGGCGTCTTTCATCCACGGCAAGTACTCTGGCATCCAATTCAGGACGAACTCTGGGTGAATAGAAATCCCTTTCCCCTTCAAATTCTCGGCAACCTCCTCGAACAACAACTTCCCTCTCACGAGCAAATTCGTGCTCTCGACCATAACGACCTTCCAAATAACAAAAAGGAAAAGTGACTTTTTGCTAATAATCACGCATTAATTTTTTATAAACTTGGAGGTAATAAAAAAGTGAGGGATGTATACATATAACACAGCAGATACTTACTCCTTCGATCATCTACTTCTCTGATCCTCTCTCTCTCCCTCTCTTGCTCACGCTCCAGGAGTTCAACCCGTTCTCTCTCCTTCAATAACTCTCTCTCTCTCAAGATTTCCCTCTCCCGTAATTCCCTTTCTCGAAGTTGCTCCCTTTCTCTCTCTTCTCTTCTTGGGTCTTCACGACGCCTCTCTTCATAATGTTCACGCTCATGTCTGCTTAACCAAAAGTGAGAATAACTTTTAAATAGAGTATTGGTGAATGACAAACACAAGAAATAAATTATAATAAAACTTAAACTATGTTGTAAAGATAAAATACAAATTGAGGCAAGAGTTCCTCAAAACAATATTGGATCAAGCTTACTTTCTGGCGCTTGTTGCTCAGGTTACTGTTTTATACCGTATTTCGTGGCTTATATGACATTTTAGTTTCAATGGCTTGGCATCAGATGTAACTGGGAGAGCTACAGCCCATCCCACATCCTAAACTTACAGCTCCCATCACTACCTTCAGTTTATAGGATGCAAGGTGGCTTTTGGAGACATTTTATGGAAAAAAAAAATGTGTCTAATAAGCCTCAAAATATGGTATTTTTGAACTGTGTAAAGGAGGGGTGAAGATATGTTGCAGATTTTTAACTGTAGTATCAGTGCACCTCTGGCAAGACAGTGATAGAGTGAATGATGATGAAAATGTTTCTTCTTTTTTTTGGGGTCATCCTGTCTCGGTGGGAAATGGCCGATGTGTTAATAAAAAATTAAATTTTCATATTCCGCGGCACTCCGGTGCTGCCCTCTCTAGGCCTGCCCAGGTCAGTGGGATGCTGGGCCCACTCTCTCTCACTTCACGGCCTACCCTCTAGGGTTCAACTGCTCCCCTCCGCAGACTGGCTATCAGTCATTCCCTCACTTTGCCCATTGTGTACTGACTCCTAACCAATTAAAGCCAAACTAGTCCACGGCCATATCTTTGCTACCTACGCTGCCCCCTTCGGCACTAAACCGCTGTTCAACAGAAAGAACAGTAATATATATACGTATATATATGTATATACGTATTTTTATATAGCCGGACTTGAGTCCTGGAAATGGGAAGTACAATGCCTGCACTCTAAAGGAGGGGTTTTGGGATATTAGCAGTTTGGAGGGATATGTTGTGTATCTTTATACGTATATGCTTCTAAACTGTTGTGTTCTGAGCACCTCTGCAAAAACAGTGATTATGTGTGAGTGAGGTGAAAGTGTTGAATGATGATGAAAGTATTTTCTTTTTGGGGATTTTCTTTCTTTTGGTTCACCTTGCCTTGGGTGAGAGACGGCCGACTTGTTGAAAAAAAAAAAAAAAAAAATGTATACAGTGGACCCCCGGTTAACGATCACCTCCCAATGCGACCAATTATTTAAGTGTATTTATGTAAGTGCGTTTGTATGTGTATGTTTGGGGGTCTGAAATGGACTAATCTACTTCACAATATTCCTTATGGGAACAAATTCGGTCAGTAATGGCACCTGAACATACTTCTGGAATGAAAAAATATCGTTAACTGGGGGTCCACTGTATATATATAGGTAGTAGGTTGGTAGACAGCAACCGCCCAGGGAGGTACTACCGTCCTGTCAAGTGAGTGTAAAACGAAAGCCTGTAATTGTTTTACATGATGGTAGGATTGCTGGTGTCCTTTTTTCTGTCTCATAAACATGCAAGATTTCAGGTATGGGTTTTCTTCTATTTTCTTTCTAGTTCTTGGTCTTGTTTATTTCCTCTTACCTCCATGGGGAAGTGGAAGAGAATTCTTCCTCCGTAAGCCATGCGTGTTGTAAGAGGCGACTAAAATGCCAGGAGCAAGGGGCTAGTAACCCCTTCTCCTGTATAAATTACTAAATTTAAAAAAGAGAAACTTTTGTTTTTCTTTTTGGGCCACCCTGCCTTGGTGGGATACGGCCGGATTGTTGAAAGAAAGAAAGAAAAGGAGAAACTTTCGTTTTTCCTTTTGGGCCACCCCGCCTCGGTGGGATACGGCCGGTGTGTTGAAAGAAAGAAGATATATAGGTAGTAGGTTGGTAGACAGCAACCGCCCAGGGAGGTACTACCATCCTGCCAAGTGAGTGTAAAATGAAAGCCTGTAATTGTTTTACATGATGGTAGGATTACTGGTGTCCTTTTTTCTGTCTCATGAACATGAAAATTTTGGGGATGAGCTACTTACCTTAGGCCCCACCACAATCAGTACAAGCAAATTAACACCCCTCGGGTTTTCTTCTTTTTCTTTCTAGCTTATCTTGTTTTTTTTCCCTTTTTATCCCTTTGGGGGAAGCAAACAAAATTCTTCCTCCAACCCAAATGTGTGTTGTAAGAGGCGACAAAAATCCCGGGGAGAAAGGGCAGTAACCTCTTCTCCTGTATATATTACAAAGAAAAGGAAAACTTTCGTTTTTCCTTTTTGGGGCCACCCCCCCTCGGGGGGTGGGCCCGGGTGTTTGAAGAAAGAAAAATGGATAAATTTAAAAGACTGGAAGCATTTAAATCTTAGGAAAAGGTGGGGTGGGGGCACCTTAAAAGGGTTGGAAAGGAAAAGGGGAAAGGGGAGGTTTTTGGGTGAGGTTTGGACTTCCAGCGGGGCGTCATGAGCGTTTCATAGGATGAAGGGAGACAAGGTACGGGGGTCCCTCAATAACGCCCGGCCTAAAGTCGTCCATTTTGAAATTCCCTTTTATTTCGTCTAAAACGGGCCGCAAATGCCCTTAAACCTCAATAGTCCTTCACCAGGACGCGTACCATGCTCTAGCTGCGGGGCCTTTCCCCTTCCCACCAGTGTGCCATTGTTTACAGGAGCGAGGGTCCCCCCACTTGCTCCAACAAAAAATTTCTAATATCCATTTATTTAGTGCTTGAAAGTGCAAAAAAGCTACCAGGGCCCAAAAAACCCTATGCCAAGCCTTTGGTAAAGAAGGTGAAAATATACTGAATTCAAAAAATAATCATTGAACAATTGATAGTGCATACTTGGGGCAAACGGGCCCAGGATTAAAAACAAATCCCGTACAACCATATTTCTATCTAGCCAAAAAAAAGGAAAATCGATGCTTTGTTGAAAAGGGTGGTAAATATGCTGACAAAAAGGGAATCACCAGTACTCAAGATATCAAAAGTTTTTATTGTGGGGATAAATGAGAAACAATTAGCAAATGTCAAATGACGTCATTATTGTGAAAAGGGGAGGCATTGCTGACATTTGGTAAAAAAATTTGCCTGCAACTATGGTGATGTGAGAAAAATTTAAGGCCAAAAAGGCTGGTTTGAGGATTTAAAACACTGGCATACACAGTGTGGAAAGGGCATGGGAGGCTGCCAGTTTGACAACAAAGCCTGAAAAAATGTGCAAAATTCAAGATACATAAGACTGAAACCTGAACAAGTGTTCAATTGTGACGAAACGGCCTCTTTTGGAAGAAAATCCAAAGAGGACCCACATTACTCAAAAAAAGCCGCCCGGGCACAAGCCAGAAAGACTAATGCAGTGGGATTTCAAAATAAGCAGTTTTCTAGTGTACCATTCTGAAAATCCCCCAAAAGTTTTAAGAAAAACAATGTTTTGAAAAATAAATTGTGTGTTTTTTTTGGGGATCTAAAATAAGGATGGGCCAAAGGACATTTTCGTCGAGGGGTTTAATAAGTTTTGGCCCCAAAGGGGAAGAATTACCTCCCGGAAAAGAAAATTTGGATCTCAATGCCTCCCAGTAATGGCAATGCACCTGCTCATCCTCCAAACTTGGGTGACCAATTTTGAAGGAGTTTTGGGGTTTATACAAAAAAAAAAGTTTTTTTCCCCCCAATACCACTCCCCTCCCCCAACCCCTGGACCTAAGTCATTTCAAACTTTAAAAATCTTCACCAAAACAATGTTTGAAAGGGGCTTAATGTACTCAGACACTCACTTTACCCCCAAGGATTTTTGGAAAGAACACTTCAGTATTCTTCATTGATAAGCCTTATAGTAAGGCTTGGGGGGGAGTGACTACCAGACTTTGAATCTGCTTGGAGAAAATTGTGGCAGATTGTGTCCCCAAAGGTTTTTAAGGGGTTTAGGGACCCCGAAGCCTAGTCAGTTGTGAACTCTAGTGTCGCACTGGGGATTCCAGGGGTTTTGGGTGTAGTTTGGGGGATGTGGAAGAGTTGGTGGAACCACAACGAAGAGCTAACCCCTGAGGGGCTGCAAGAGCTTCAGCAGGGAAGACAACGATCGCAGTTTAGAATCTTCCGAGAGGGGGAGGGAAAAGAGATGGAAGAAGGGGCCTTTTTTAAAAATTAAAGGGGATTTTTGAAAAGTGGGTAGGGTGGAAAGATTTATGGGGAAACACACCCTGAAAGGATGTTGCAACCATATCGGGAACTTGACAGTGACAGAGTCTTTGGGCCCCTTTAGGAATTTTAAAGAACGCCAAAACAGAGCTCTCTGGAAAATTTTTTTTTGAGACAGGACTCCAGTGACCTCAAGGTGGCTTAGTGGCTTTAAAAAAACAAAAGAAATAAACCCCGAAAAGCATGGGACTGATGTGTTGATGGAAGGGGGTTTCCCCCTTTCCCAAAAATAAATAAACCAATCTTCTCCTTCTCCCCCCCTTTCCCCCCCACCAAAAAAAGAACGCCCAAAAAAGGAATGTTTTTTTGTTAATGTTTCATCATCATGTGCCATTTTATTTTTTAT